AAAAAAAAAAAAAAAAAAAAAAAAAGAAAACAAAAAAAAAGAAAGGTCTACAAAACTCAAATGTAGATTAGAGATAAACGAAATTTTAAATTGCGCATTTGATAGTACAGTCTTTTTTTACAAATTTTTTGTAGCTTTTAAAATTTTTCTCTTTATTTTTTTTTCTTTTTTCCTTTTAGAATGGCTTTGTAGGCTACCATATGGTTGCAGCTGACAAACACTTAAAAGTTGCAATGCTAATATCATACGTTTTTAGTGCCAGCCTAAAAAAATCAGATGTAAATAATCTGTACGACATTCCTTTGTTGTCAATTTATTTCCTTGCCAAAGCTTAACAGATTAGCAAAGTTATGCCTAAATATTTTTTCAAAAATTTCTTTTTTGAACTCAAAGCAATTTGTTAAGTAATTAGTTTTTGTTTAATAAATGAGGTGGAAAAAATCCAATAAAAATTTGTTTTTATAACGTTTAAATCAACTTTACTTTTGTTAAAGATTTAAATAGTGAAACTTTTTTTGCTTAAAACAATACTTTATAAAAAATTTATATAATCACCGCTCTATTAATATCTTTGAATACTGGTCATTTAATATTTACATTTATAAAAGCTCCATTAATAGTTTATCTTCTCAATTATTGTTTAGCATTTTTACGTTTTATACCGAAAAAAAAATTGCCATTTTTTCTAATAGTACAAAAAAGATTTTCTTTTTTTTTTTTTTGCTGAACAAAAAGCATTAGAAAATGAAGCAAATACGTTAAAGCTAATATGCATAAATAAACTTGAGTGTTGCTCAAACACTATATTTTGCTATGTCTCACCTCAGTGATTTGAATTTGAAATTCGTTTATATAAGGTCAAACTAACAGCCAATTTTGCTGCTAGGCTGTTAATCGTAGGGCTATATCAATAAAAAAACTGTAATGTTTTTATTCACTTTTGGTGGCTATATTACACTGTACATTCTATTTTTATACCAAATAAAAAACTTAGCTAAATTAGCAGTTTCG